GCGCGGTCACGGTAGATTCTATCCTGGTGATTTTTGAGCGTGATTGCTAAAACCGCTTTGATAGACGGTTCAGAAAGAACGAGCCACGGTCAGGAGCATTTGTTGATGTAAAATTTTTGCAACTTTGCCGGGTCGTCTGAGGTTCTTTCTGTTGGTCAACGTTTTAATTTCCGCATTTTTAATTTAGAGCGCAAACGGAATCGTCGATGATGATGATGATTATGAGCCAAAGTCGTACGAGGAACTCCGACAAGATGCTATTCATCATTACAGACAACAAAAGCGCTACTTTGAGCAAGCACAAACCGCCTATCGCCACGGTATGAAAGCAGCGGCCAGCTTTTACGCACAACAGGTAGGATTTCAGGGCTAGGGCGTGTCTGCTATGGCTTTTGTGTTGCAGGGACACTTGCAAAATAGTCAGTTGAAGAAGGCGAATCGCTTAGCCGCGGAGAAGATCTTAGAAATTCGGTAAGCCGAATTAACTCATATTTGTTTCCCTTTCTTGCGGACTTAATGCTTGCTCTATTTTCTTACCGTAAACCTAAAACAGATCAAGCAACAAAGGTAGCTTGGCAAAGTTTTAGTTCGCTCGCTTTACGACTTTAGCTGAAAACGAACATGAGGTTTGAATCTTGAAGACACAAAATTACTTATCTGAAACTCTTTTGTTGGAACTAGTAAGTTATTTATGTGATTAACTGTACAACTGTCAGAATTTAAAGCTGGGAATTGTATGCTGAATGATTTACTGATTTGTTGAAAACTTTGCTCCAACAATGTCTTCACTCTAGGTCATTGTGACGTAATAACAAGTAAATTACATTCCAAATCCATATTTTGTGGTCACTTGCCAAGATGCACATAAACTATTTCGAAACATTGTTCCTTGGATGTTATAAAGAATCTTAAAAGCCGTTCTAGTATTGGCGTTATATTAATGATATTTGGGGGATCTACAATGACGATGACAGGATCAGAAGTTTTCAATTACAGCCGATGTGCCCTCGGTTGAGCAGGATCTTTAAAGCTTGCCTGTGAATGTAAGTCTAGCAGAAGAACACATTTTTTGAGCTTGACCATTGTAATCATGAATGAAAATTATTTAATTTTTCTGTATGCCGTAAAACTGATTTATCAACGTCCTTGTTATGTATCTTCGTTTTCTGAATGATCCATCGTCCAAACAAGCAGCGATTTTATGTTTTTCTCTCTACGTATTTTCATTTTTGGTTCAATTGCTTACATAGCTCGTGAAAAAGTTATGTACATTTCAGGTTTCGAAGCAGATCAGAGAGCTAATGATTAATTAATCAATTTCATCTTGAACTACATTTGGTCTTTTCGCTGCCCTTGCACTTATTGTTCTAATGGAATGGCGAAGCCTCTGGTAGAGTTATACTAAAAGATTGTTCGCTGCACGTGCGATGAAGAGCTCCAGCATATTTTTTAGAAGAAACCTGTCTGCCTAAGGTTCCTTGGCTCTCATTGTTAACCGGTGCGAAGGACGATGATGTGATTTCGAGCTAGCCTGACCACGATTCAATCTGTGATATAACGCTCGTGGTTTGATTTGTGTCCTTCAGGCGTTGTCGCCCGGCAAGAACAAAGTTTAGATCTTTCAGAGCCACTTGTATATGCAAGTTGATTTACCATGGCAAAAGAATTGTGCGAGAACGAGTTTCTCCTTTTCTAGGCATGTTAGACATATCAAAAGTTCACTTCTATGATGTGTAATATAAACCCTCTCTTAATCTGTTTTTGAACTCATGTAAATCAGTTTTGAAGAAGTTTGATGCATATTTTCTGTTTAGAAATGGCACCTTGCCCAAAGGGGTACTCGATTTACACGGGCTGTTTGTCAACGAAGCCATCAGTGCACTGTCGAAATTTTTGTCAGATTTCAAAAATGGCAAGTATTTTCTGTCTTATTTGTCATTGGACTTTGACTTTTACGCGTTCGTTCAAAGGTATCCGAAAGGAGGTAACAGTGATCACTGGCAAGGGGATTCATTCGGATGGTGGACCGAGGTTAAGGCCAGCTGTTACTAACTACCTAAAGCGCAGAAATTACAAGTGAGAAACTGAATTTTTATACTCTGACATATTTTGTGCGAATCTGTAACAGCGATTGTTAATGTGAAACTTTGGCATGTGGCCTTAAAAATAAGGAGGTACACAAAGTTGATTTTACAACCGTAGGGATGTCGACCTCCATGCACTTCCACGATAGGCAGTATTTATGGTACTCTTCTTTTATAAAACTTATGGACTGCGGCTGGTATCCGTTGAGATGACATCTTGTGTGAATGCACATTTTGAGGGCTACATCTTCGGCTACATGACTATAGCAGCATGTAGCCTTCCGCTTCAGTCTCACATAGTGGTTCACGAAGCACTGACTCTGCTCGAGCATTATCCTAAGTGTACCAATATTCCGCAGTAGCCAATAATGATATTAGTTGGCACAAAACTGTTAAACGGTTGAAACTTCTAGGTCATCAACATATTTAATGAATATGCAATGCCGTGAAGAGCTGAGGCATTAAAGAAATAGTAACTATTCTGACGTTGTTTGATCCACTGTAGATGAAAATTTGAGGGGGTAATATTATGACGTACGTGATTTTTATATATTCCTTGTCCTTGAATAATGATTATTTTTTTCTACTGTTTTGGTCATCATACTTCATCGTTAATGAAGAAATAGTTGTGGACTACCTTTCCAAAATAGGTTGTAAAATCTTCCTTTGAGCTGCTCAGATAATCACAGCGTTTCTGCCATGTTTTCAAATGGCAGGATGAATTCTGAGATGTTCTCTGATTCATTCATTTTCTTACGCTCCTCTTAAGACACTATAGCAGTCATTTGGAACATCGTATTTCGAACCTTTCAAAGAATTTGCGTTCCGCATTCTTGGTGAATCAACTTTTTTACCTCTATCTTTCAGATGACCAGATCAATGATTAAGGATTCTCAGCATGATGAAATTTCTAACCGTGATGCTTTACCCCTTTCAGTGAGTTTTTTTTTATCACGCTGACCTTGCTGTTCATTGATTTCGACGAGTTTGCGTTTTGTAATCGCTCTCTTTGTCAGTATAACAGCCTGGTTCTGAAAGAAGATATCCTATTGAAAATCAACGTCATCCATTGACATCCAGTATTTAATTTTTCGCCATTATAAATCACTAGTCTCTGTTAGTTTGGATTTAAAAACGTAATCCCCCAGATATTGGCCTTCTTTGCTGATTCTTGCAGCTCCGCTTATTATGTTGGAATTAGTACTACATTGTCTTCGTATCGCATGTTTGTGATAGATTTTGCTCAGTTCTTGCGGTCTTCGGTGGAACTTTGTATTATAGTTTCGACAGATCTGTAGATTAAGTTAGGCAGCAACGAATTCTGCCACATCGCTTTTACGGGAAAGAGCCAGTCAGAAGACCGACGCTGACATTATGAGTATATAAAATATGATATAAGTCATTCTATTGTTAATGGAGATGCGATTCCCGATGCGTGATTCAAGGCAACAGTTGAGAAAGACTATGTTAAGTCCATTCTTAATGTATTACTCTGATGATTACGCTGGTGTGCGGCGTCGAAACGCGTGAGTATAAAAGGGATTTTTCATCAGCCTTTTTAATTGCTGCTTTAAACCATTATCTGGGTCCGGAGTCGAAAACTATGAACTGTTCTTGAAGCAGGCAGCTAATTGATACTCCCTGTCATACTTATTAATCAACGCGTCTTGAAGTGGTTGCCTTTCTGTCCAAAGCAAAATATATCATTAATTTACACGGGTTGGAAAGTCCAAATGTCGGTATTAAATTTATGCAATCATGAGATGTGTTTATTTTTATGGTTAGACATCATCTTTTGCTTTTATAAACTTTTTAGTTTCTTCGAGTCATCACCGGGCCTTTTCATCGTTCAGCGCTAAGAATTTGAAGGTTGGATTGTTTGCTCAGGTTTAAATATATTCTTATGCAAATAGTCTGTGAATTGCAAATAATTTTGAAGCACTTGTTCTTGGGGTTTAATATTTGATATTTTGTTGGTTGTAACTGATTTAAAGTTGCTATTGTGTAAAAAAGATTTTATTTTTAAATTAATTAATGCAAAATGTTTCAATTAATTTTTCTTTTTTCTTGGTTGTTCTTGTTTCTGCTGGTGAGTTTTTGATTTGAAGTTCTACAGTTTGCTTTGTCTCTTGCGTAGCAATAAGTTTTAAAACTCACTGGTCTACAGTTTATTTAAAATATGAAGAAAAGTAAATTTTACGCCGTTATTAAAATTTTTTGTTGACGGTGTAAAGCAAGAGAGCGACTGTGGCTCTGCTCTTTGAGTAAAAGTTTCAATTTCCTGTTATAATACTGTGTCAATGCAGTTCATTCAAACAAAGTTTAGATTGACGTCCCACAATTTGAAAGTTATTCAGGACTTCATAAGATGCTAAAAGGGGGATAATCCCTGTGTATCTGTAAATTCTTCACTGTGCATTTTGTTAGTGCAGTGTGCAACACAGTTTGATTTGTAAACTTGTGCGGCACGCCAAAAGATGCCATCTATTTACCCTGCGCTCAGGGAAATGATTGTGGAAACGCATCGGCGGGAATTCTCGCAGTTAATTTTGAGGTGAACTGCCACGATGTTCAAAAATTTTCGCGTTGATTATTCCTTCAGTGAAGGGACCTTCACAACCGTGACTGTTAATTTGCTCTGGAAAGATTGGCATTGAAGCCGACAGAATGGGTTCATCTTCGGG